GTGTTGGGATGGCCAAGGACAGCAGGATTTCTTTGGTAACAAAGAAAAGAATACTGAGCTGTAACGTGACATCTGTTTTTCTATACGTCAGATGAAGAAGATTCGCGAGGCGACAGAGATGTGGTTCTACAGGGATGCTAAGGATATCATGGACCAAGCCTGTGAGCAAACGCTGTGGTCTTAAAAAGGTTACAAACAATGAGAAGGCATCAGAAAGAGGCAGCTGAATTTTCTTGGACACATAATGAGGAAAGAGAGTCTGGAGAATCTGATACTCACATGTCAAATCGAGGGAAAGAAAGACAAGGGAAAACATCGCGTGACCTATCTGACGAGCTTGAGCACGTTAATGACAGAACGTGATCTGGGGGAGAAAGCAGAGGAAAGGAACTTTCTGAGAGCTGCAAAGTATAGAGGGAGGTGGAGAGCCATGACCGCCAATTAAGTTTGTTCTCTACAGCCAATGGTAGCGTAAAGGCTACACTATTACTACATTACACAATAGAAGAAGCTAACTTTTCTGGGACACATAATGAGGAAGGAGAGCCTAGAGAATCTGATACTCACATTTCAAATCGAGGGAAAGACAGACAAGGGAAAACATCGCGTAACCTATCTGACGAGCTTGAGCAGGTTGATGACAGAACGTAGTCTGAAGGAGGAAGCAGAGGGAAAGAGCTTGTTGAGAGCTGTAAGGGATAGAAGGAGGTGGAGAGCCATGATCGCCTACGTCCTGAAAGAACATGGAACATACAAAGAAAATAAATTACTTATACTTACACGAACCAATCAATTTAAGACGATATTTTCTACTGTAAGAATAATTTTATCCTTTCTTATTTTGCATAATTCGACTGTTGCTGTATTTAACTTATTCTGAAAATTGAGTTTATATTCATTTTATGCTTATTAACATATTAAATCCTTTCATCATACGATTGATGGGTGTACGAAAAATTTTGTCGTTGACTATATATATATATGATACATGGCCCAGTGTCGGATCCTTTGGTTATAACGGTGATGCCGCCCAACCCTTTGGTCAGATGATCACCAGCCTCGCCTTCCCGACTCGCTTCCAATACCTGGTCACTAAAGCAACTATACCGATCTCCGGTCTGTCTACCCACGCTGTGTTTAGATCTTAGACAGACGGGACCAGCAGGATTTGGGCTGATACATGTCGAGTCCGACGGGGGGTTAAAAAAAAAAACAAAAAACTCACGACACTAAATAAAAATTATTGATAAAAAGGGGTAACAACCTTTTTATCTTAATGTCCGTTACATAAAAAAACAAAATTGTTCTCAATTCCCGACCCGCTCTGTGGACTATGGCACCAAGCTTCATCACACAATAGAAAAATGTCGTACTTTCTAGAATCATTTATGTATGTCGGAGTGTGGTTCAGTTTTTAAATCTCCGACTTGAGTTGTATTTTTCTTCTCGTCTGCTTGGGAGTTTTCCTGTTTCAACTTTGGAAGATTTCTTGTTTCAACTTAGCAACTCTGTCATCTGAGGTGGTCTCTTCTCACCGCCGTCCGGGGCTGAAAATCATCGACTTTTCGGCTTGGCATTCCATTTCAGGCTTTTTGACTTGGGCTGGAATTCTTAAGGATTTCTTGTCTGAGGATTCTTTGCCCGCAAAGGGGCGAGTGAATCGGTTTGAAGGCCGCGTTCAGGCTCTATCCCCGCCCGCGGTCCAACTCTCAACTCCAACTGCAAATCCAACTGATTTCTGTCGATGGGGTCCTGCTTATATTAGGGTTTTCTCGATAATTCCAAAAAGCTGCATTAATTCTGTCTTCTCATTATCGCTATTGTTTTCACCCCTCATTTCCTCACAGTACTTTTGGTGGGGGCGGCACATCCATCTCTCTCTAGTCTCGTATGTCAGGTGACCGCTTTAACCAAATCGGGCATTTCTTTTCCTTCTTCCGCAGAACACGTGATCGACCAATCGTTCCTGAAAGATCACGTGACCGTCTCCGACCAATTGTTATTGATCGAACATCCTTTCTCCTCTTGTTGCGGGCGTGGTTACATCGTTCTTGTTTTAAAAAACAAAATCCACTTTTTTGCCTTTTTTGCACGTACGCAAAATGACAATCTTGGCTTTTCTCACCTGGACTTTGTCAAACAGCCCGCCGCTAATTAGACTTGACTTCAGAAAGGACTTTTTCCGCCTTCTTGGCGCCTCTGTGAGCCAAAAGAAAATTGTCCCTTTTTACCTCTTTGTTTTTCCTGATAGTCGAAAATCTTAATTATCTACTTTGAAAATGTCTCCACTTTATTAACGTGGGTGTCCAATTCTTAACAGGTCAGGATTAATCGTTCCACCGGTCACCCCTCAACCCAAAGACACTTTTTTTCTCTGATTAAAAATTTCATTTCTATTGTTCTAAACCAAATTGATATGAGTCTCTCCACGCAAAAGTCGGTCAGATGTTTTTGACGATATTGGTCTACATCAGCGGCCCGTTTTGATATCATGTGTTTTCCTTTCTTCTTTTTTTATTATTGCTAATTCTATTCTTCCAATTGTCTTTTCGAAAAATCGGCCAAGACGCGACCTAAATCTCTTTTCTGACTCCCTATCTCCACCTCAATTGGGTCATGCATCATACAACTTTTTTTTTCTTCTTTCTTCTTTTCCTTTTTCTTTTCTTTTTCCTTCTTCTTCCTTAAGATCGTCTAGTACAATCTAGTGAATTATTTTCAACCAGTTATTTTCCGTTTTAAAAAAAAAAATCAACAACCTGTTTAGTAACTGAGTAAGAAAAAAAAATTAAATCATTCTATGAATATTTTAATAATACATATATATATATATATATATATATATATATATATATATATATATATATGTATGTATATAGTCATCATGGAGTTTGATTGCTATGTCCAGAATGTCTATATTTATAAACCCTCTCTCTCCGACCTTGAGCACGCATAGGTTGCAAAATATAGGATTCATTTATTTTTGATATTTTAAATATTGCCAGGTTTAGTAGAGCCAAGATAATGTATTTATTGATTGATGAGATAACAACTTTGTAAATTGCTAAAAAAAATGAATAGAGACCAGAGAGCAACAGCAAATAAAAAAAATTGAATACAATGAAACTCGAAGGGAATGGTTATAATATTATCTGGGAAAGAGATTTTCGAAAAAAAGGAACGGCTAATTAGAAGATGTCGATGGCAAGAAAAGTAGATTCATGCGACAAAATTACCTGAAGTTGCTGCTGGGAATTTAAGACAGGCTAAAAGATGTAAAATGACTAGAATATTGCTCTAAATGCAAAACAAATAATAAAATACAAGACAAAATGCATCCAATCCCTTACCTTTTTACGCTAATACCATAACCAATAAAAGAGCTACTCACATTAGATTATTATTGAATGGATTGGTTTTATTATGTAAGAATTTGAGGTTATGGAGAAATATAAGATAGATAAACGTTTACTGTCTACTACAAAATATTATGATTTGAATGGTCCGGGTGAAACGCTTAAAAAAATATAGATACTATTTGTTCCCTAATTATAATTGACTGATTTCTAAAATCTCTATTACTTACAAATGAGGTATGATTTTTTTTAAGCGTTGCTTAGATGTGGCCAACGCCCAAATTTTAGATCACCTAGTGAAGATCGAACTCACAATTCACTCATAAGTGAACTAACGAAATGAGGTTGCTTAGCGTTATACCACGACGATACGACCCTCACGGCAGATTTATATTTGGAAATTGTAATATGAGAAGTAGTAAAAAAAAATATATATCTGCGATTTGTGTCCAGTGAACGTTGAAAAAGTTTGGTAATCCAAAGAAATAAAATGCCAATTAAAGAATGATATACACCACCGAGTCTATTTACTGAGGGAAATGAAAGTTGCACATATTATGATATTTTCATGAATGAAATTGGTCCCAGCAAATTTTCTATAGGTGAACACTACAAAATAACGATGAAAGTAGATTTCCTAAGCTTTCTCGAAGAAACGCAGACGCCAAACAAATTTATCCTTTTCGAAATTAAATCTTCTATAAAATGGAAATATAGCTGAGACCGTTTTCATCTGATTTTATTAAAGTATATTTCTTCTCGACGAGAATTTTCTATCGCCAAATCGACTTCAGAAATGTTGTTTAAACTTTGAAATTCGCTATTAGAATAGAGGAAATACATGTGTATATTTGAAAGCAATGTACCTACTCTATTTTCTTGGACAAGCACCGGAGGCGGATGTCTGCTGTACGCTAGTTATAGTTGAAGAATTCAATGTTAACTGCCAAAAATAAGATATAGCGATTATTGAAGACATGCTCGTTAACATGATACTGAATAAAAATTCCTTCAAATTACTGGTTTTTTAAATATATTTAATAGCTGTATGATATATTCTGTGCCTAAAGAAAAGCTCACTAGCGTATTGGCTCGTGTGTGATGATTGTATTAAATTGTGCCTAGGATTATGATACTAAATGGTAACACAGCGTGATGTCATAATTGCTAAAATGAAATAAATATACGTTTAAAAATATTTGTTCTATATAGACAGAACGCTGGTCAAATGATACGCATTTCCAAGACGTGTAACACACTTCTGATGTATTTACTCTTCAAGTCATTAATTATCTGCAGCCTCTTGTTTTGTTATCTCTTAAAAGAATTACTTGGTCACAACAGGATGAATCTAAAATTTAGGTTTATTTTCTCAAGCTTTCTTGCTAATATATATTTTTAAATATTCCTATTAAGGAAGAAAATATTGTTTAACATATTCTAAAGTTGAGCCTCCCAAAATTAATTCTAAGATTTTTTTACTGTCTGCCAATTCAAAGAATACCGCGCGTCTCCTATGGCGGCGCTGCTTGGTTAATATATGTGAATACAAAAATTCAAGTAATTGTAGCCTTCAATACACAAAAATTGAGGTACTTATTGTTCGAGGGTTTTGAACAAAAAACGAATTAGTACTTAAAATCTATGAGCATTTTTATACAATTCCGAAACGGGGATCTATCTATCTATCTATCTATCTATCTATCTATCTATATATATATATATATATATATATATATATGTATCTCTCTCTCTCTCTCTCTCTCTCTCTCTATCTATCTATCTATGTCTCTCTCTCTCTCTCTATCTATCTATCTATCTATGTCTCTCTCTCTTTCTATCTATCTATCTATCTATCTATCTATCTATCTATATATATATATATATATATATATATATATATATATATATATATATATGGCTTGTATAAGAACCCATATAGCAGGAACTGATATTAAACTACAATTAACGAAAAGGTCCTGGCCATAAATAAACTCCAAGCCCAGGCCGATTCCCCCGGGATAAGATAACTTATGGTCCCACCAATCGCTAACACAAATCCCTTCTCATTAACAGGGCCTCTACCAGAGGGGGACTGGCATTAAAAATAAATTCAAAACATTGCTCCAAGACAGAAATTTAGAGGCTGATGATAGCCGTGTACAGAACGTCTTGAAACAGACACACACACACACACACACATAATGTTCCTACGCCTAGACTAGCTACCAACCAAGGCTATGTGACCCACCTTGTCCTTTCATTTAACTATAGCCGGGGCGGGGGATAAAGAATTAAATTCATACTTTTCCCTGTTATTAGCACATAAGTTAATGTGCTATATTCGACTGTCATTCGAAATCGGCTCTCCTTTCCTAAATCCAAGATGACCATAACAGACAGTTTCATGCGTTCTCACGCAGTTACCAGGCCTCTAGAGCAGACTCTCTTAGCAGCTGATTATTTCATTTACATACATATATATATATATACACATACATACAACACACACACACACACACACACACACACACACACACACACACACACACACACACACACACACACACACACACACACACACGAGCGCGCGCATAAATATATGGGACATATTTTTCTACCTTATGATAATGTTGTCAAGTAAAATGCAGAGAATAATTGTAAATTCATGGAAAGAGTGTCCGTTGAGTAGTAAAGTTCCTCCCCCCAAAGAAGAAGTTCATTGGTTACCGAAACCTCTGTAAGGGTTTCCATATCCATACCCACTTTACGTCTGTGGGTAGCGATCCTAAGTTTATTACTAGCGGACTGTGGCTCCTAACTTTCACCAAATCCGGGGATCAGTGAAAACCTTGACTTTTACCGCACGAGATATGATGACCTTTTTTTTTTCTTTTAATCAAATTTCCTTCATAAAAGTGAGTAAATCCATTAAAACACAAGTGTCTGAAAGTATTAGAAAACAGAAACATCATGGAACGAGAACAATAGAATCGTAATCAGCAAGACAGTAGATAATGTAAACTGCATTTACATTTTTAAAGATTTAAACTGTCTGGAAAGCATGGAGCCAGAAGAGAGTTCCATAACTGAGAAGAAACTATTAACATAGAACTTACGGTTTAACTGTGAATTAGTTTCCGCCAATCTAGTTCTGCGCTTAAATTCATAAAGTCTACGTATTATAACGAAGACCTTGTCATAGCAATTGTCATGAAAGTATTTACAGAAAGCGGAGCAATTTTATGGATGTGGGAAAGTGACTGAAGGCGTATAATTAACAATTTGTTCATTGCCCCAGCTAGCAAAAGATTGATGGTCATTTTTAAGATCAGCTGCTATTTTGACCTTATCGAAATTATCAGTTACTAGCAGTAGAGCCCGGCGTTGCCCGGGGATGTAACTGTAAGAGAGAGATTAAGTATCGACCATCATAAAGACTGAAAAATAAAATTGACAAAGATTATTGTTTAAGGTTGACGGACACGCATGTCTTAATTAGTTTTTTTTTTTTGTTTTTTTTTGTTTTTTTAGGAATTGGTCAAACCTAAACTCAAACAAAAATATTGTTTTCAATCGTTATGAGTCTACTGATTGAATAGGATTTTATTATAAACAATTGTCTTGTAAATGGAATTTTTAAAGCATTCGGAATGTAAAAATAAAGAAAAAAGTGTCCAAGACACTGAGAAACACTACCTGCCAAAAAAAGGGAAGTTTTGTTGAAATCGGTTAAAAAATGTAGGAAATCCGATCCCATATATAAACGAACACATACACAAACAAACAACCTGGGTTTTATAATAAGTATAACTCGATACGAGTTGTCCCTCTTTCATTCTGGCGGCAGAATCGTATTTTATCGTGTTTTCAAATTGATTTCGTGCAAAAACAATTGTGTTTTTCCAATTTTTGGCGCTTTCAGAACCACCGCAAGGTGATTTTACGCAGTCCTGTGAAGTTTTGTTGAAATCTGTTGAAAAATGTTGGAAATCCGATCCAATATATAAACGTACAGAAACACACACACACACACACACACACACACACACACACACACACACACACACACACACACAATATGCGTTTTATAATAAGTAAGATTATCGATGCATGATAAATGGTGGGTCCATCAGCATAGATACCAAGTTGAGAGTTGATTCCATCAAGAAGGTTATTGATGAAGATTAAGAACAAATTAGAAGCAAGGATATAGTCCCGGTAGAAAACTGCATTAGTAAAAACGTATTTACAAAAGTTACTGTTCAGAAGATTTTACATTTGGTGATTTGATGAGATTGTATCAGTTCAAAAATTCATCAATAGTCTTATCCAAAATTTTTCAATTTATGAAGGCGACCAATATGCCAAACCATGTCGAGTGCTTTCGCAATGTTCAGAGCAACAGCTCGAGATTCACCATTCCCAGATAAAACTTTATAGACTCATTCAGCGGTAATCTTTAATCATTTGGTGATTTTTTTAGCGTGACCTGGTCGTCTTTGTAGTTAGAATCTTCGTTCACCAAGTTGTAGTCAGATCGAAAACTAAATAAACTTTAACACGAAAATAGATAAATATAATAATATTTTTACCCGTGGATAAAATGATAAATTTATTGCATTTAGTTTTTATAATATCTTAACAACTATTCACCTGTTTCGATCAAAGGAGATTAAAAAATCATTTCGTAATATATTCTCAGGGTTATAAGATCATACTGCCTAACAGTGAAGTCAAAATTATTTTTCTTTTTTGCTCACGATCAACGCACATGCAGATGTTCATATTTTATATTCATATTATCTATCTATCTATCTATCTATCTATCTATCTATATATATATATATATATATATATATATATATATATATATATTTATGTAAGTATGTGCGTGTTTTGTGTGCATATGTGTACTTATATAGGCATGTGTATGCGCGCAATGAATAAACCATGAAACGAAAATATAAAATTTCGATCGTGATATGAAGATTATGAACACTGTCAAGCCCCGTGGATTTACTTCTTTAAAAAATTATTTTAATGTTTATATTGATACATATATCAATACACACAGGCGCGCAAGCACAAACACGCTGCTATGTACATGGATTTGTATAAGTACGTCAAATATTAGAGAACGAACTGTGAAATATTCTTCAAAACTAGTTCTCCGTAACGATGACGTTAAAATAGGTACCACCTCTAATTCGCTGTAAAAAGTATAGCATGACGAAAAAAGATCCTAAAATTAATAAAAAAAAAATTATCCTAAAAATGTTTGTGTTATTATTAAGAGAAAAGACCAAGGTATATTTTTTTAATATTTTATTATTTTGTTTAATATTTTTTAGCACGTTCAAAATGTTGGTTAATATCTTTTTTTTTCAGCGGTCGGTCAAAAATTAGTATGGCGAATTTTAGCGCTTTTTTTTACCGGTAAAAAAACACTGATTTGGAAATTCATGTAACAGTCTAATAATTCCCAGATTTAAGTGCAATTTTCAGAACTTATGCACGACGGAATGAAATTATTTTTTTTAATTTTTCGGCGATGAAAGACGACTAAAAAAGGCGCTAATAGGCTATTTTAGAAAAAGAAAATTCGATTCCAATCAATATAATTTCTGCCTGAAATACAACAGTCCATTTTACACACTGAAAAAATTAAATTTAATCCTTAATTTACAGTTAAAGCTAAATTAAATTAAATTTAATTAAATTAAAATGAAAGCTTCACGAAAGCTTTTTGATTTTTACAAATTCATTTTAAACATTCAGTAAGGCGAGATTGTTTAGCATTTTACCACGACGACACGAGAATTACGTTCTTTGCTTACTGGAAACAGTAAATTTAATCCTTAATTTACAATTCAATCTAAAATGAAAGCTTCAAAAAAGCTTTTTGATTTTTACAAATTCATTTTAGACATTAAGTATCGCGAATTAGTAGATGTACTTAACCTAAAATAAAGAAATAACTACCTGTTTTTTTTTTTTTTTTTACTTTATCAAAAACATTCAGTGTACAATGTCTGTTCCAAAATTAAAAATGACTGATTTCTAAGATCTGTATTACTTACTAATGAAATATGGCGACATTACAATGTTTCCTTGTTCATTATTCTTGAAGACTAGGAAAGGATTCAAGTTAAACATTTGCTGCCTAAAGTTCCAAAGTTCGACAACGAAAATTAAAGGTAAAAAATTCCGAAGCTTCGAATTCGATCGAAATAAAAATGACTAAATGAAAGCTTCAAGAAAGATTTTTGGTGTTTTACAAATTCATTTTAAACATTAGACATCGCGAATTAGTAGATGTACTTAGCCTAAAACAAAGAAATCACTATCTATTTTATTCTTTTTTGGCAAAAACATGCAGTGTTAAAAACAAACTTTATGAATTATATTGTCTCAAAAACAAATCTAGTGTCGTTGAGATAACTAACCTGGCCTTTCGTCACGAAAAGAACCTCAAATCGGTTGTGAACTGGGGCAGAAATTGGCTGGTTAACTTTAACGCCTCAAAAAAAAACTGCTCTCTATTACTCACCACAGAGAACCATCCCTGCACCCCCTCCCTGAATGTCTAACGCCCAACTTCTCAAGCTTCTCTTGGCGACTACTCGGCCTCACACTGAGTGCTGACCTGAGATGGAGCCAGTACATTGAGTCAATAGCTTCGTTCACCGCAAGGAAAGTTGGCTCCCTGTGCCACGCCAGGAAATGTTTCTCGCCGGAGTCGATCCTTCAAATCTACAAATCAACCATTCAAGTTAAACGTTTGATGCCTAAAGTTCCAAAGTTCGACGACGAAAATTAA